TCCAGTATTGGTGCTATGCAGTTCTGGCAAAGAGCAGCTCTTAAGATTAGCTTAGCCAAAACATCTCCAGGGTTGGGTATAAAGAGGCCTGTGTGTACCAAGCAAGACATCACCCCCATCTGGTCATGTGTCCAGTTTTTGTGGCCTCAGATGAGCGTTCTTCCCTCCTTTAAATAGTCTTCCTTTGCATTGCAGTTAGAACCAACTACTGCCCTTCTTTCCATCTCTGAATTCTCCACTATTGTTATCAGCACTGAGCAACTCACAAAATTCCTCTTAGAATCTCTCTACAGATCTCTCTCTACGGTTGCACAAGAATTCAAATCCCACTATCAGCCCCACGAGTTCAAAGCTCCTCACTAAAATTACACATCTAAATTGTAATAATGAATTCTTGGCAAAAATTAATTTTCTATTTTGTCAAAGTGATTTAGGATAAAAATTTTCAAGATTAAGTTCCCATTATTTTGTACGATTGGGATAAAACTGCCTAGTTTTTCAAATTAATACATAGTAGTTGATTATGAAAAGGTATTTATCATTCATTCATTCAAAAATATTTGAGTGCCCGGCACTGCACTAGATCCTAGAAATACAGTGAACAAAACAAATACAATCCCAGAATGTCATAACAACTTATACATCATGATACTTATCTCCAAAAGAATCTGGCATATATTAAATATTTTATTTAATGACAAAAACTGGGCAGCATGGTGGTACACCTGGGAAGTAAATACACCATGACTAAATATCACAGGAATTCTATTATTTAAATCTCTCTACACATTATGATCATGTAATAATTATAATAAACAATATTGGGCACTGAAATATTTGCTGTTCACTTGAAGAGTGCTAGTATTTTACTTTTAAAAGTGCTATCACTATGCATACACAGATCACATAAAATGTACTAATTGCTTGAACAGAACTGTTTATCAAGAGTAAGTAATAAACCTCTGTATAGCAAAGTTTTCACATCAAGAATGAAAAAACACAGCACAACGACTTCAAAATTAGTATACTGTACTATAAACGTACTATCAAAAGAAATTATCTTTTATGTGCTAGGAAGAGTAAAATTTACGTTTTTCAAACTTGATGGTTTCCGTATTATAAGGAACATGCAAATATATTAACAATTTTCTTACCAAAATAGAGCCCAATATATGTACAAAAGCATTTAGGGAAAAAAGTCTGTCCTTAGTTTTAACATGCACGTGTACATAGAAATATATGTGTACATAGAAAATATATATACTCACAAGAGTAACATGCATTGACAAAAAGTTACATTTAGCAAAGGTAAAAAATGAAACAAAAAATCCTGCTAGGCCTTTTTTCTTTTTTTCTGTCTTTGAGGCTTGACAAAGAATGTAGAAAACTACCAAAGTAACAAAAAAGGACACAAAAACCACACTTCCAACAGACAAACTACTTGTCAGTATTAGGACCTGATCTGACAAACAGGTTTAATCCACTTCCTCAAAGGTCATGCCGTCAAGGTGAAGGATGATCATCTTCTGCTACTGAATTAGGCTGGCTGTCGTTCTGAGAAACAGGGTGCTCCTCCTCCACATGGGTCATTTTATCTGACCTTCTTGCAGGAGAAAGTTCATTATTTGTCCCCTCTTCACTAGGTGTTAAGGTACCAAGTAATTCATTTGACATCAGAACTTGCAAAGATTCTGCCCCATCTTCAACATCCACTTGAATCCCCAAAGCTTTAAGGATGTCACATTTGCACATGGGGCATGTGCCATGGGCTACAATCCAGGGGTCAATGCAATTCTTGTGGAAAAAATGTTTACAAGTCAAAACACGAACTGTATCATTGGGCTTATAGAGTTCAAAGCAAACTACGCAGCTATCTCTGTTTGCACTTATTTCCTCGTCCCCCTCTTTTAGTACCCGAAGTTGGAGCTGGCTAAATGCTTTCTTGAGGTCTGTTGTTAATCGCTGCCATCTCCTGTTCTGAATCCTTGCTACCCAAAGTCTTCGAATATGATAAAAGATGAAATACGCTAAAGTAGCGGTTGTGACAATCACAAAAGACACAAAATAGTGATTCAACCAGATGATGTGTTTTCTCCCCACCTCAACCATAACTGTAATGTAAACCCCCTTCTGAATTAAATGTAAGATCTCCATGCCTTTTAAGTTACCAATCATCACCACAATGATGTCTTCAAATGCCTGATGAGACATGGGAAAAACCTGATTGCCAGTTCCTGGAAAGTTATAAATGATCACTCCACTGGCTCCTTTCTCAACAGCCACTTTAATTTTCTGTGTGAAAGTACAACCTCCCCGTTCAATAAGTGCAAGCCACGTCTCTGAGTTCTTTGGTCTGCTGAAACTGGTACTGGGATTACAAGCATTTTGAGTTTTTCCTTCTGGAGGCACGATAACTCCTGCTACTCTCTTCAAAGTGGAGCTTCTTCCAAATACTCCAGTCTCCCCCAACTCTGACAACATACGATTCCCAACGTGAAATGATATGTTCATGTAAGCAGTCCAAACAGCACTGGCTCTGCAACAGTTCTGACTAAGCAGCCAAAAAAAACTGAATTTGACAAGCCAGGAAGATGTGGTGTTGTTTCTCCGAGTGCCAGTCTTGAGTAGTTTCATCTCTCTCTTCGCCTAGTGACTGAAGGACCAACCCCAGCAAAAGATGTGGCTTCCACATCTGTTGACAATCAATTTAAGATAATAACATGAAAAAAATCTTCTGGGTGAAAATAAGTTCCACTGATTTCCAGCATGTTTTGGCAAGAAATTCTTAAAGATGTCTCATGAGTTGCAGATGTTTTATTAGAGAGGAAAAAAAAAAACTCTCAAAATGAAAAAAAATCCCAGTCTCACTATTGTAACTCTGGATACTGCTTACTGTTGGGTGATGTGATTATGACATAAAAGACTTCACAGCCAATTAGATAAGAGCTTGCAGCACTGCTGTCAATTCATTGGCTTGAATGTTTCAGATGCTGTTATGGGTGACTTCTGTGCTATTGTAAAATGGATTCAATCCCTGAGCTACACGTAATGTTAGCAGGTATCACTTTAAAAATTAAAATTCATACAACGCATGCATTTTAAAACCTGAAAGCATATGCAAAAAAGCCATATAATTATCATTTTTCTTCACAATAAATGGTTAATATTTCCAACAAAATAGCAAATTTTAAAAATAATTAAAAATTAGCAGTCTGACCAAATGTGTGGTAAAAGCAGTGAATTCTGTATCTCGTGAATTCTGTATCTCCATTTTTAACTCACATTTGGTCACAGTGTGAATTTTTCATTTATTATGTAAACCACTGTACTAAATGTATTTAATAAAGCTTGCTCAGAAGTGTGTTGGATCAGATGGTTTTGATTTGATTCTTAAAAGTAGGGTATCCTGTTAAATTATTTCAGCCTCACTTCCTCACTCTTCATCGACCATACATAGGGATGACAGCAACCAAGACAGAAAAGACTCATCTCTCGGCAGACTTTTACATCTGTTACTAAACTAACAGTATTTTGAGAGAAGAGGAGGAAGGGTATAAGGGAAAAGATTAAATCTAGCAGTACTAGTTTAGCACTACTTTAAACAAAAATGTAGCTATTGATTTTAAAAAGAAAAACTTCAAGGTCCCCACTTAAAGTTAACCACTGACAGGCGTGACTGCCAAAGGTCATAGATGCTTTTAACAAAATGTCTGCCAAAATCAACCAATATCCCTGGTGGAAGACCCCACATACACACTGTCAGCTCTGCCTATATTTTTGCTACACTTATGTCAATGGCACAATATGACTTCACAGCCAAAGAATGACTTGTGAACTTACACACACAGGCAGCCACTGATGCTGCCGTATACTTTCTAGGGGGGTATATCTCAGTGGTTCTTATTCACCCGCTAGGAAACCAGTCAAGGATTCTGACCTTGAACATAAACATCTCTGACCTCTATGCACAGGATACGAAGAGACACTTCTGGTTGGGTCTCACCAGGACTAAGGGAGCTAGCCTGGCACTTCTTATGAAATGTGAATCAGCAAGAGGATAAGTTGAGCAAAGCGGAAGGATAAAAGGGTCCCATGGGCCCAACAAAAAGTGGCACAAAAAGAAAACATTGTGAAAACCTTCAGCTCAGAATGGCCGATTTTCTTTCCCAAAGGCCATTAATCTGATTTCCAGACAACCCACTCTTTAAAAAAAGACAGTGTAGTATCTAATATATAGACTCACAATGTGCCATCTGAGTTGGACACCAATGGTTTATCATCTCATCCATAAAGAGATGGCCATCAAAACACAAATCTTTCACCTCTCATTGTTACACAGATGTTTATTCATCTACTAGAGGAAAAAAAGAAGCAAAATAAGGCAAAAGATACAATTTGGAAAGGCAACTGAGTAAAATTTCAGCTTTCCTCTTTCTATATTATCAAAATGCCCCAAATAGAGACACACTAACCACCATTTTGAAAAGAAAAGCAAAGCATTTACTAGGGTCACTTCCAGAAGGAAAATCTGCCACCATAGCTGATTCACTCTGCTAGGATTTAGGGCTCTGACAAACACAAAGGTGACTTTTTGCAATGCTGCCCTAAATGAGGCCTATGATAATTTAAAATACTTTTACGTGACCAAAAGTGCTATCTAAAATAATTATTTAGAACACACTACCTACCCAAGTCAGTAGCTTTGGAAACCAGATTTCCTGGGTATTAATAGAATTAATTAACCACAGAGAATTAAATTAAGATCAAATCCTATAATGAAGTTTATTGTGCAGAGATCTTATTAGATATCAAAAATTAATATGGAAACAAAGTATAAAAATATAAAAAACTTTAAAATATTATGACTAATTCGCTGTGGCATCAATGTCACAATCACTGTAATTTGAAGATCAAGACTAATTTGCTTTTAACACGTATTAATGTCTTTATTTGGATAAGGGAAAAAATGTATAACAATTAAAAATTAGCAAAACAACAAGTTCAAATAGCTGGGCATGATATGGAGTTTTATTTTAAAAACACACAAATTTTACCCTCTTTAGTACTTGGGTAGAGAAACTCAAGTTGAATTTTCTCTCTACATAAAGTGCTAAGAGAATTCATTTAATTCCAATCTTTGGAAAGACTCGGTTACATCTTCAGAAGAGTCTCTGGGTTTCTTAAGTTTTCAGAATGTCACACTTGCACATGGGGCACATCTTATGGGCTAAAAGCCAGGGGTCAATGCATGCCTTATGGAAAAAATGCTTGCAAGTTAAAATACGTACTATATCTTGTGGTTTGTATATGTCAAAGCAAACAACACAATTGTCTTCATTTGGATCTAGTTCCTTATCCCCTTCTTTGAGCACCCGCAGTTGAAGCTGACCAATAGCTTTCTTCACATCTGCTTTTATCTGTCTTCGCCTCCTGGTGGAAGAATTGGGCACTCTAGCTCTCCAGGCACAGTACAGAAAAATGTAGATAACTGTAGCAGCCATGAAGGTAAACAGAGACATGACATAATGGCTCAGCCACGGTACGTGCATTCTCCCCACTTCAATGATGATCGTCACATAGACCCCTTTCTGAATCAAGCGCAAAAGTTCCACGCCTTTCAAGTTGCCTATCATCACTGCAACTATATTTTCCGTTCCCTGGTGAGACATGGGAAATACTTTGTTGCCCGTACCTGGATAATTATAGATGATCACCCCTTTCGCTCCCTTCTCTGCCGCCACATTGATTTTGTGTGTAAAAGTACAGCCTCCTCGTTCAATGAGAGCCAACCAAGAGTCTGCCTGTTCAGGCCTGCTGAAATTGGTCATAGGATTACAAGCATTCTGATTCCATCCTTTAGGAAGTACCACTGCACCAGACACCCTTTCCAGAGGAGAATGATTCCCGAACACTCCACTCTCTCCTAATTCTGATATAAGCCGATTTCCTACCTGAAATGTTATATTCAGGTGGGCTGTCCAAATGGCTTTTCCTTTTGAGTCAGGAAGGCTAACTAGTAGAAAGATGCTAAGCCTCAATAGTCGAGATGAAGCACAACTATGAGTTGAACGAGTAATTCTAAGCAGGCTCATTCCTCTGTTTGCCTATTAACTGACAAACGTGAAAAACAAAACAACAATCATAAACGAAAGTAAAGAAGCTCGCTTCAATTGTTGGCAGAAGATAATTAAAGCACATTAATGGAAAAGGTCTGTGTGGATCAAAGATATCTTGCTCCTTCCAGCATTTTTATATTTGGTAGATTATCTTTCTTATAAATGAAACAGAATAACAAGAGTTATTATTAGTATAATGTGATTTCAAGGAAATTATGACTTCCTAATGGGGAAATTGTGACATCAGAGGTAGTTAAGCCAATCCAAGTGTTTATATCAGCACACTGCATACTGAAATCCTATTGGCCAAAAAGCTATTAAGCACTGATTCATGGTATATCACAATTTGAATCAACTCTAAAGCAAAAAATAATTTTTTTTAAAGCCTTGAGTTTCTTTCCTAGTTCTGGATAGATCAAAAAGCTGTTTAACCACTTGATATTCATTGTTTCTCTATCTGTAAAGCAAAGTAGATTTCATTCATGTATTAGCATATGTACCTGGCCAGTAAACAGTTCTCATGTATAGTTCTGTGCTACCAAATATGCCATTCTATGGGAAACAGGAACAAATCATTCCCACTCATTTCCAACATCAAAAGCTTATCCTAGGCCTAAAGATTCAACACGAAACAAAGTCATAAACATACTGTCAGCCTGATATATTGCCATCTTGCAAGGCAAATTCAACTTTGTTCACTAAAATAGCTACTGACAACCCACTCTGTGATAGGCAAACACTAAGTATGGGTCATATATTGAAGAAAATAGACATACACCTACTGTGTGGAGATTATCTAGTGAGAGCAGATTTTAAACAAACACACAAATCTATAACTGCAAGCTGTGATAAGGACTCGGAAAGGAAAACACAGAGTATCAAAAGAAAGAATAAATGTAAACGGGAACCAAACTTTGATTATAGGTCCAGGGCATTGCTCTCTAAAGAAAGTGATGCTTAGTCTGAGACCTGAAAGATAAATCAGAATTACCCAAGCAAAGAATGAGATGAGACTTCAGGCAGAGGACACAGCAGTTTCAAGACCCTAAGACAAGAAAGAACATGAGTTTGGCAAAGCGAAAGAGGCAAGAGCCAAGGGTGATGGAGGAGGAAAGGCCAACAGCCATCAGAGAATTCAGGGTCAGGAACGTTAGACTAAGGATCTTGGATCATGCCACAAGGACAAGAAAAACACACTTAAGGGTTTCAAGCTGGGGAGACGACTTATAACTGTTTCAAAATGTTCTCTTTTTAAAAAGTGCACTTTGGCTGCCTTCTGGGGAAAATAGATTGGAGGGGAAGAATCAAGTGTGAGATGAGGCTAGGCAAAAGAAGACAGCAGCTCAGACTCCTGAAATAGCAGTCAAGATGTGGAGACAACCAATTCCGAGAGTAAAAGGTTGAATCAACAGACGTGGTAACTGGAAGGGTAGTAGTAGGCAGAGCAGAGGATGGCCACGAGTATCACAGATCACTACATTACTTTACCGTCGCAAACAGCAGCATCTTGACTGCTTTAGAGGCGCTTTAACATTTGTTTGCTTTTAATTCTTCACCTGAAGTCTGTTTCAGGGAGTCAATAAACTGGCAACACACACTCGAACATTTATTTAATATATATACAGCACATATCCTATGCACCAGGCATGCTAGAAGGCCCTGGAGATATAAAAAGAAAAGACAGTCACAATTTCCTAGCATGCACAGTGGACACCAACATCTACATCAGAGGCATGACGAGAGAATTTTGTCCTTCTGGCAAAAGCATTTATTGTACTCCCTGGAGCATAATATTTTCATTAACATTTGCTTTAAAAATAAAACTGGAACCAATCAACTTGCTCCATTCATACGATTTTCTTTAGGCATCCTTCAGTTCACATCTGAACTGTCTTTACATGTAGACGTCGACTTTTTCCAGGTTCAAATGGAGTGTGAATTCCAGGCTTATTCTATTAATATTGACAAAGTGAAGCGTTACTAAGACAGTTTACATCATCATATTAGAGGCTGTTTGTCAAACTTGTGATTATTTAACATCTGGGGATGGAATTTAAAATATAATGTAATTCTAATTTTGCTTTTTAGTTTGCTGATGATTTTTAAGGGTGAAGAGTTTAAACAGTAGCCATACTTTGGCTCAAAACCTATTTCAAATCTAAAGGTTCTTTGTATGGTTGAAAAGACCAATTTGAAGAATTCCCTAGTTTATTGTATTTTTCTCAGTATAAGACCTGAAGTGGTTAAGACAACGATGGGGAGAACTTCCCCTCTCTCCTGCCTGAGTCTTAGGACAAAGGAACCTATAAGAAACAATCCTTTATCTCTAACACAGTGGTTTCTCAGAAGGGGGTCAATTTTGCCCCCAAGGAATATTTGGCTATTTCTGGAGACATTTTTGATTGTCACAACAAGAAAGTACTACTGGCGTCTAGTGGGTAGGGGCCAGGGATGCTCAACATCCTAACGTGCATATGACAGCCCTGTGAAATAAATAATTATCTGGCCTCAAATGTCAATAGTAACATTAAGAAACCCGGCTTCCACGGAACAGCCTTGGGAGGGAGGAACCTTCCCCAAACTCATTTGTCCTTGATGAACAATCAGATCTGAGCTCTTATTATGGAGTAAGCTTTTATAATTGGCAGTACATCCATCAAGAATGATATCTTCAACTCATCTTCATTTCCTCGGTTTTCCTTCAAATAGAAACAGCAGAGACCTGCACAAGTGACCTATTAGTCCATGAAGCCTGACTACAAATTGCATCCATTTTATACCAGGAACAGATCCAAGATGGTTAAATGGGAAAGGGGGGGGGGGTAGGCTGGATAACTGATACTACTCTAATCTGTTCCTTTTTGACCATTTATTCAATACACAGACCCCCTTTCCTTTTTAACAGCTAAGTATTAAAGAGGTTTTCATTCTGCTGAACTTTGCAGACAGGCTAACCAATACTACTAGGATTGGTTGATCCAGTGGTTCAAAAAATCCCTACTCCTTCCATCTTGCCATTCTGCCTCTAAGTATGTTGATTTCTCTCTTATGTCAGCTCGCTTCATGATGATCCCCGAGGTGGCACCTGTTGTTCTAGATATCAATAGGCAGAGTAGCAGACAATATCCAGAAGCACAGAGACTTGACTTCTCTTCTATCTCTATATAAGAGCAAGGAATTTTTTTTTTTTTTTTTTTCCAGAAACCTACCAGACTTCCCTCGACGTCTTTCTGGCTAGCAGTACTTCACAAACCCATGCCTAAAGGAACGCCTGGAAATCGGAGTAGAATTACCACGACTGGCTCAGGTTCATCATGATTTATCCTGCTGTGGAGAACCCCTTGCCTGGCTGAGCACATGGCAAGAGGGAATGTGAAGATGATCAGTCCTCTGCCACCAAGGGAAAGAGGTAGGAACTGGAAGGTGAGTAGGCTAACAAAATGGCAGCTATAGGCTCTAAATACCTGAGGTTTACTCAAAGGAATGATACCTAAATAATCATTAACCACAACAAACATGTAATACTTACTACATTCAAGGTACCGATATGAGCTGGAGTCTATGTTACAGGGGACACAACATGGCCCCATTCTTCAAGAGGTCATCACCTAACTAGGAGAAGAGTTATACACAAATTAGGTGTATCATGTATATATCCTATGACTTCTAGGTTCCAACTAAAATTTCAAGAAGGTTATAATTTTCATTAAGTTTGGTGGAAAAAAATCAGTTGATCGCCATCCCTCCACTGTTTATCAGCCTCTGTTAAGAATGCTCAAATTTCCAGAAAACTTTACTCTGATAAGAATAGCCAAACACATTCACATAGCATTGCCCAGAGAGTATTGTTATGATACATGGAATACCCAAGAGGCTTTAATAAATTACTCCACAAGTCGCAGTATCCAGGGCTATGATGTTATTAGAGATCTCCAGGAATCCACAAAACACACTGAATTTGCATTTAAGCTTGAAAACAAGTGTATTGGTTTTCTGCAAGTAATTAAATGCATCATAATGGGATTTGGGGGTAAGAGAATACTAAATAGTTTACTGAGAACAACAAAAAAGCAAATAATGCTAATGATAAAGATTCTGCTTTCAGAAAATACTTATTTTTAAAAATTTGTAAAGATAAAACTAAATTTTAGTTTAAATTTTATTATATTTGATTGCAAATTGGTAAATCCTCAGAAACATTAATGCATTTTCTTGTAAATTTCTCCCATAAAACTTTAATCACTACTCCCACAATTCTCTCAGACATATGCAATAAAAAAAATTTATATACAAGTATGCTTTTTCCTCTTGATATTTCTGAATCCAAGAAAAAAAGTTTTGAATATGTTAAAATGGAATACAGTAAATTTTGAAAAAATAACGAGCTTCTGAATAACCTGGACAGTGACATACTATACTAGGGTAGTTCCAGATGAGCGAAACAGCTGGGAGGAAAAATGTGGGAATATGGGAGCTTAGTTTAAGATCTCTGTTAAGTTGGCAACAAGTCCACATGTATCTGAGTTTTTAAAGTAGATTCCGACCAGGAGATAAGTGTGATAGAGGAAGGTGATGGAGGTAGGAGAAGGCAGTAAGTGCAGGCACGACAGATATCATCAGAAACCTCTTAATGGAGTTGTGGACTATCAGAGGTTCCAGCAGCATGCGGCTCACGGACAGAATACAGCTCCTGGCAGAGGCAGCAGGTCCCAGGAGTGTGGTCTCATGAAGCCAAAGTTTCAGGTGCAACACGAGCAGAGAGCTGAAGCGGAGAGCAGGGACCTTGAAAAACCAGTTCAAGGTGGGACCAGAGCCAAATCTAGTTGATAACTAAACTCAGAAGCTTCTAGAAGGGTCTTGAATATTTCTCCTATTTAGATCTGGGCTCTACTACCCCACCAAATGGGCTTGAATTTAGGGTTCAGGAAAAAGAAGTTTAGCTGCCAAGATAGGAAGCAAGAATGGGAATGGGGTCCAGGTAGACTATTACATAGACAAATAACCACGAGATTTACTCAAGATCTTCATTATTATTAATATTAACCAATATAACTTTTAATATCATTAAAAGCTCTGGTAATTAAATATATTAGAGAAAATAAATAGCCAAAACAGACAATACATTTTAAATCACCATATCACTAACCATGCTTTCTTCACTATGTAAACCAGGATTACTATTCCTGTT